CTGTATGTGCTCCCCCTTTTTCTTTAAATACGTAAGACTTTTTGTTTTAATTAATTTGTTTTCATGGTAGTAGAATATATGTAACAAACAGCCATTTCAACCATTTTTAAGTGTACAGTTCAGTGACATTAATTACATTCACCATGCTATGTGACCATCACCACTGTTCATTTTTTCATGACCTTTAACAGAAACTTGGTGCCCCTAAAGCACTAACTCCCCTTCTCCCCACTCCTTTCTCTGCTGGTGACCACTTACAAACTTTGGCCTTTATGCGTTTTCCTGTTGTGGATAATTTCTATAATGAGGCCATACATCACTTGTCCTTTTGTGCCTGACGCAGCGTAGTGTTTTGAAAGTTCACCCATGTTGTTGCACATGTCAGACTCCATTTCTCTTCCTGGCTGAATAATACTCCATCATGTGGATTCACCACATTTTGTCTGTCTGTTCATCTGCCAATATGTCAGTGGGACTTCGCAGCCCCATCATCTTCCCTTCTGGGCTCATCTACCAAGAAACTCAGATTACAAAAAAAAAAAAAAAAATCTTTCTGCCTTAGTTTGTGATCTTGTAATTTTTTTCATTACTTCTGGGGTTTTTGTTTGGTTGTTTTTAAGTTATCTCTCATAAACACCTGTAAATCCTTTTGGGGAGTAGGCAGGGTACATCTTACAAACAGATGAAGGGTGACTTCAAGGACCATCTTCTATGCCTCCCAGGCTCATCTCAGAATGAGAGCCCTCCATGAGAAAGGAAGAGAAGAGAAACTAAAAAGGACAGCTGTGGTCCAGGAGCAAAGCAGATTATCAGATAAGCTGATGATCTGCTGGAGTACTGGTTCTGTAATTACAGGTCTCTCTTTCTATCCCAGGAGCCTATTCCACTAGACATGGGGCTTAGGGCATCGGAATTTCTCCTGGGTACCAGACCTGTAGGGTTATTGGTTATGTGTAAATTACCTTCCCAGCCATCAAGCATTTCCTTTCTTTATCCAAATGGTTTCTCTGTTAACACTTTTTTTCTGAATTTATATGGGTATGGGGTTTTCCGTGCAGAAACAGAATTTTATAGCTGAACGGGACTTGAAATTGCCTACTCAGCCCCTTATGTTTTACGAACAAGGGGCCTAAGGCTTGAAGAAAGTAACTGAGGTCCTATATGTAACAAATTAAGGAGCTCTGCTGTTGTTGTTATTGTTATGTGCCGTCGAGTCGGCCCCGACTCATAGCGACCCCTGAGCTCTGCTAGCGTAGTGGATAAGGCACTTGGCTGCTAACCAGAAGGTCAGTGGTTCAAACCCACCAGCCACTCCATGGAAGGAAGATGAGGCAATCTGCTTCCATAAAGATTTGGCGCCTCACAAACCCAATGAGTATCGCTATGAGTTGGACTCAACTTGATGGCAGGGAGTTTGGTTTTTGGCTTTTGGAAGTAACAAATTAAGGAACTACCCCCAAGCCCCCTGATCCCATATCTTGCAGCCCTTGCCCTGCACCCTGTCTACAGGGCGTTCAGAACTCCCTTCTGTTCTTTCTGACAATGAGTTTCACTCAAACTCTGCTTTGTGTTAAATAGAATCATATTTGCCTGGGGTTGTAGCTTGTGTACTAATGCTCGCCCTTTGATTTAGAAGTTAACCAAATAGTAGTAATAACTGCAGAAGAGTGGCTTAATCAGCACTGATTAAAGACAGGCAGTTTTTAGCACTGTGAATGTGTAGGCAGGTGCTCTGTAAACTCAACTATATAAGCAAATTGTTTACCATCCATAGAGTTTGCAGCGAGCCACAATGCAGACTTTGAACATGTGCAGTTTGAATATGTGAAATGTAGAAAATGAGGTTGGGAGTTCTTATAATAGCGGGGTACAAAGATGGATGGAGAACAGTGACAACAGATCTCTGGCGAGCCCCGGGGGAGCCTCTGGCCTTGGCTTGGGCGTAGCGACCGTTGCTGGTTGTGTGTCTGCGGCCGGGCACCCGGTAACCATTACTTACGAGGTCACTTGCCACAACAAAGCCCAGGCAGCTTCAGAACTTAATAATCCACAGCCTCCTCTACCCAGTGAGTTGAACTTTTATCATCGGTTTTCATACAGGTGCTGTTTAGTCATCTCATTTTGCTTATGATTTGAAATATTTTTACTTTCTTCTAAAAATGACCCCAATTTGAATGATACCCGTTTTTTGTTAGTTTGCATATGATCCCATGTCTGGGTCCAGCTGTGGTCCTTTTCCTGGTACTGTGAACAAGGCTTATCAGTGAACCGTCGTGGGTACCTGCACAAAGAGAAATGAAACTGACAGCAGGTAGTTCCCACATGCAAAGGGCTGAACACTCTGTTGAGAACAGTTTCCCCTCGTGGGGAGGAAAGCTGAGAAAAAGTCCTCAAGGTGACAGTGCTTTTCCTGGAGGGTTGCACCAGTGTGAGCTGGAATCCACTCCACGGCAGTAGGTTTGGTTTGGGTTTGAAACGCAGATCCAGCCGGGGGCAGGTCAGTAATGAGGACGGACTTCAGTCCAGTGCCCTTGTCCCTTGACCTTGTAGCCCCTAGGCCTACACTGCTACAAAAACAGGCCCCCGGAAGGGCTGTGAAGCTGCTCTTGCCTCCCTCTCTTACTGACTTTCTTGAAACATTCAGCATCTTGGGGCAAAGCAAGTGCATGGGTCAAGACTGACGCTTCCTGACATGACAGTGACATTGTCTCTTAGCAGTGTTTTTGCTTACAATTGCTGGAGCAAAGCCCTGCACGTGGGCACTGATGGATCTTTTCTTCTTCATGCACGACAGCTCCTCTGGCGCAGTCGCCGTGCTCTGCCCGTCCCTCCTCCGGCGTAGTCGCCGTGCTCTGCCTGTCCTTGGGATGGTGAGCACCCTTCGAGCCGCTCACTGGCCTGCTCGTTGGCTCCCACCCACACTCTGAGACTTCTTTTAGCGATTGGCCCTGGAGCCAGCACTGTGTAGAGGGGTAATAGGTTGTAATTATTATTTCAGAATCTCGTTTGGTCATTCACCGCAGTATCACAGTGAACTAGTCACAGCAGTGTAGCCCTATGTGGTTGTTAGTTGAGGTGCAAGTCGTTTGCAATTGGCTGCTAACATCAGATTCAAACCCACCCAACAAAAGAAGGGCCTGGTGAATGGCTCCAGTAAAGATTACAGCCAAGAACACCTCATGGAGCAGCTCTACTCTGTAACGCACTGGGTTGCCATGAGTCAGGGGCCTACTTGAGGGCAGTTAACAACAGTAGCAACTAGTTGAGACCGCGTGCTCCAGAGCAGACTGCCTGTGGCCACGGACAAGTTACTGACCTCTGCAGGCCTCAACTTCCTCTTCTGTAACCGGTAACAGATTGCCATTGAGGTACTTCCTGCTCACGGCGACCCCACGGTGTCGGCGCAGGGCTGTGCTCTGGAAGGTTTTCAGTGGCTGACTCTTCCGAAGTCGCTCATGGGCCTTTCCTCTGAGGAGCCTTGGGGTGGACTCACATCGCCCTCCTTTCGTTTGGTAGCGAGCACATAAACCATTTGCACGCCCAGGGTCCCCTACCTTAAGCACATGCCTAACAGGAATAACACCTCGCGTTTTTCCGCTTTAACAAGGCCAGGTTACTCACCCAGCGCACGTGGGGTTGCCGTGAGTCAGAGTCTGCGTGACGACAACTGCTGAAATCTTTTCCTCTAGTTTATACTCGACCCACGTGGCCTAAGGGCAGGGGCTACATTGTGTAGACATTTCTTACCTCCCTCCCCACCCCCAAAACTAGTGTGTGGATGAGAACAAGAGCAGGACTTTCAGACTCTGGAATTTTCTGGCAGGCACCACTGAAAAGATTTCATTCTTGGCTTCCAATTTAAAGTCACGTCAATGTTTGTTTTTCTGGAGTTTTTTCCCACTGGTTTATCTTGAGTGTCTGACCACCATCTCCTACCCTGGTTGCTAAGGGGCTTTTGTAGTTCCCGCAGGAGGGTGTGAGAAAGGAGTCACCACCTGCCCCCTGACTGCCTGGTGAGGCTTCCTGCAGGTGCTGACCCAAGTGCAGCCCCTTCCAACTCTGCGCTCAGCCCCGCCTCACACTTGGTCAGTGCTAAACTAGTGTTACCACACTGGGCCGACAGCATGGTTTAACCCCATCCTACAGCTGACATGTTTTAGATGGGGAAGATTTTTCACTCAGCTATGAATGAGAGGACTTCATTTTCGCCCAGCATGTATATGGAGCATGACTCTAATGTAACTTGGCACCTGTCTAGAGAATTGTCCCCGAGTCCAATGACACGGTGTTCTGGGGAGGTCCGCACCTGCTGGGATGGCATCTGTCACATCTACGAAGGTGAAATGCTCATGAATAATGTGGGAGCTCCCTCAATAAAATGCCTTCTTCAGAAGACTCTTAATATGAGACATCAGCAAAGAGCGTGGTAAACAGCACAGGAGAGGATTTGGGCTCCTCTGAGATACGGGAGTGAACACCATATTTTACTGTGGTTTGTCTCATCTTGATACAAGGGGATGGATTTTATTATTTTGAGATTGTTTGGCCAAGAACGCAAGAGCCTATCATTCTTATAATGGCAGGGATCATGTATTTTTATTGGTTGAGCACACATGAACATAATCCTCTAACATAAATTCGGATCGTAATGCTTTTGAGGTTGGGTTTTTGGGAGACAGAATGGATCTGTCTCAAGCACGTGCCATGTAATTGACAGCCACACAGGAAAGCCATGTCAAGGGAGAAAGGGAAACCATGGACTCTGGGGGGCAGGGCGCCCCATCATGGCACGCATGAGGAACAGGTCGTTGAGCCCTTCCCAGTGTTAGTGGGGTTGACTTTGGCTCCTAGGGCTGTTGGTGTAGGAAGTTGGGTCAATTGGACAGTTAATTTTCCTTCCTCAGTGTCTTCCCTTTCCTTCCCAAATGTCTAAGCCCCAAAAAGAAGCCAGGAACCATGACAAGAAGTAGACTGACTGTTGGCCACGTTTTCTCTTCCAGGCAGGTGACAAGCATTACCACCCCAGTTGTGCACGATGCAGCAGATGCAACCAGATGTTCACAGAAGGAGAGGAAATGTATCTTCAAGGTGAGATGAACTCGGGAACACGTTAAGCTTTCCTCGCCTGG